ACAGATTCTGGCGAGCCATTTCGGTCGCCGGGAGCGGTCACCCCTACTCTATGAAGTCTGGAACCTCTTTGGTCGACGCTGTCATGGAAAAGTACTTGTTCAGAGAAAAGATGCTCGCTTCTTGTTTTATGGCACCGGATCCCTTGACTGAAGCGAATAGCCTCCATGATCCCAACTTGGAACACGTGTTGCAGGACAAAGAGAGGCTGTATCAATACTTGTTCGGAGAGTCCGTGAGAGGAAGCCACGCATATCAATCCACTGCGGAGCCTCCAGGCGAGAATGAAACTGAGCGAAGGAAGAGGGAGAAGGTAAGGAGAGAGAACAAGATGCCATGGATGGATGAGTACTGGGGAGTCCTTCAGCCAGAACCAGTATACTCGAGGACTCAAAGGTGGTACGTCATTGATGACTTCAAGGAGGGTGAGGAAATTTGCTGCGATTTCTGTTTGGTCTGCAATCCCATAGACTCCGATCAGAAAGACGATTGCTATGCAGAATGCATCAACGGAGCAGCAAATAGGTGCCGTGGGATGTCCGCAGAAGACTACGTCCAGAAGCGATTCCATGCATGTGCTCGGATGCTTCATAACTTCGGCATGGGACAAACGGTATCTTCTCCCACTGTCATGATCTCCGAGATGAACCCGCACGTAGACTTGATGAAATTCTTGCACGAGGCGATGATCATCTTCAACGAGAATCCAGGCTTCCAGAAAGAGATCTCGTTCTTCGGGGGGATCAGGCTGTCATCAACAATGACGGAGAACTTCTTCAAAACGAGGAGAGGACCCAGCATCCATGTGGAAAAGCAGACAGTCGGCAGCGTCAAGTACTACCAGGGATCCTATGACCTTGGTAACGTGTGCTACACCAAATACCTCAAGACCATACTGGAGCCCGATGTATTCCGCACTATATTCGGAGATGATCCCACAGAGGAACGGGTAGGTGACATGGTGGAAGCGCTGCTGGGCATGCTCGAAATTGCTCAACTCTTCAAGCACCTGTTCGAGGGATGGGGTGACATCGAAGCTTTGAGGACGGGATTAGAAGAATCTATCAAGCGCGTCACTGCATCGCTGTACGACAGGACAACGTATGAGAACCGAAAGCGATCGACGATCAGGACCTTGGACCCGCACTCTGAAGAGGCGGCAAACGTGGCACTGATTCTCGTTCGCATGAGGGCCACGCCGCCTCCTGAATTCGACATCGACCACTTCTTCGAAATTGGGAAAGAGCCAGAACAGGGAGCAGAGGCTACTGGCCAGCCCGAGGCCGAAGGTGCCGATATGGAGACTGAATTTGAACAGGAGAAGGAGGAGCAAGACGTTGACATGTCCGACCCGAAGACATCAATACTGCTAGCCATCGACGAATTCGAGGAGAAGATCGGGCAAGCAGAATTCTGCATCCACTGCATGAAGTCGGGACACACAACTCTCAACTGTGAGAAGAAACCTTCATCTTCACCTACAGTCATCTCAGTGTTGAATGATTGGAAGAAGAGAGTGAAGGGAGAGGTTGCGCCCGACGATGTACCATCTGGACATTCAACCGAGGAGCCTAAGAAGAAGAAGCAGAGAGCATCGCCTACTCCAGATAGGAAGGTCGACAGCGAGTTCAGGCGAAAAGAGATGTTGAAAGCAAGAGTCGTGACAATGTTCGACCATGACGGGTTCACCTTGATCGAGAGTGCTGATGGAGTCGAAGGAGGGACACATTCCTACAATGGGCGGAAGCTTGCGGAGGTGGGCCCTAGGGATATGAGGGTGGTGTACGAGTTCGTAGAGAAGGCGTTCGTGCACTCCAGCTCCCTCACACCAAAGGCATGTCATCACTTCTATCCCCTACCGACACGGAGGGAGAAGGGATACAAGCCGATCGACCCCATGACGATGGTCGGGAAAGTTGAACTAGTACCGATCAACGGAGTCACTTTCGCTGCAACGAGCTCCGACTACGGCAACCACAAGTACCCGACTACATACAGTCGAGTGCCTGAATACAGCCAAGCGAGCCAAGCCCTGAGTCGTCGATTGGGAGCGAAGTTGAGACATCGAATTGGACGCCAGTTCAGGACAGGTGGAAGACTCACACCAATCAAATGCGATGAGGGCGCATGGGTGTCGTGGGAGGACCTGTTAGGTGATAATGCAGTTTGGGAAGACGGTTATCACTACGGCAACATAGATACCGTGACCAAGAAGGCGCGTTTGGAGAAGTTCTTCGACCAGAACTATGAGTGTTTCCGCATAACCAAGAGGATCAGATTCCAAATGCTGGCGGTCCGCGTTCACCCTGATGAACTCAATGACCCTGATGACCCGATGGAGAAGGGGTGGATTGACGAGCTCAAGGACATGGGAATCTCTAAAGGAAGACTCCACCACAGCGATGGATGGTGCTTTCCCGTGGCCGTAAGAGCAACCTCAGCACACTCATCGGACGGCGGAGGTTATGACGTCACCATCAACATTGACCACATTGGATCGAGGATGACCAACGACATGGCCCTATCTATGGTGACTGCATATCACGCTACCAATCTTGGAGCGCTGACTTCAATCATGCGACGAGGGCTAGTGCCAGGAGGTCTCGGTTCATCGGGAAGGGATTCTATCCACTTCACATGTTTTCCGCCATGGGCCTGGGAGCAGGGCTACAAGGGAAAACCTTGGCTGGGTCGTAAGGTCGCATTGAGCGATCGCCCTGTGGTTCTCTACATTCCGGTGTCGAAGCTGCAGGAGTACGGACTTCTCATCTCAGCGACTGGCTCTCTATTGGTCGAGAACGTCGTTCCCTTCGATGAGGTTAAAGGGGCATGGTTGCAATGCGACAATGCGGAACCCGGACAGCCTGAGGAGATCGAATGGATCAGGTTACTCAATAGAGAACCCGACCCCGGAAGCTACCTTGTTCTGGAGTCCAAATACGGAAACCCGATCATGATCCCACGCTTTCAGAAGCTTGAGAGTTTAGCGGTTGAAGTTCAGGACGATACCTATTCCGAGGACGACGCCAAGATCTCGAAACTATTGGGCATGATCGAGGAGAGTGGCGTATATCCAGAATATGATAGCACCGAGTGGCAGGAAATCTTTGAGGAGATCGTGTACCGCCGGGCAATGAAAGACTATGACTCAAGACCGTGTCCTAACTGCCTTGGTGAAGTCGATGTGCGGTTGACGGTATGTCCGCACTGCGTAGCGGTTTTGATCGCGAATGGGAAACTCACGCATGTGGTACCCAAGGATACAAGAGACCGCAATCAACGATCACCTCCGAGAGATGTCCCAGCCAGTTCTTCCGGTGAAGCAACCTCTGCTGCAGGTGCAAACATCGACGAAGTCATCAAGAATGCACGCAAGACAGCCGAAGAGGTCATTGAGGTCGAGGAATCCGAAGGAGAGGAAGAGGGGGAAGTTCCTATCATCTTGAAGGAACGACCGGACGAAGCTGAAGGCGAACCCGAATATCGGGAGGTCCCTCAAGATGGATACGGGAATGAACTTCCGCAGCCTTTCCCCTTCGCGATTGACGAATTGCCACAAGAAGCTGCGATCCCCATCGACCACAACTTTGCGGTCACACAGCAGTTTGATCTGAAGTTGATGAAGTTGATCAAGAGCTTGGCCAACGCGACGTTCGACATCAACTGCTTTGAGAGTCGTGAAGACGTACTGCGAAGGTTCGACGAGGGGCAGCGGCATGACACTCCATACAATAGATGGCCATTAGTACCGAATGATCCGGATACTGGGTTTCCAAGACGTCTCCAGAGAGCCGAAGTCGTAGGCATGAGCAAATGGACCAACGACACGTTTGCAACAGAAGCGTGGCAGATTTATGAGTTCCACGCCCACGTTGTTCACCCGATGATGGTCACTGCAATCCGCTGCGGGCTCAGCCACAAGTATCTCAAAGAGGTCGGCAGCACTCGGCGTAACATGAGTGATCCGAAGGCTCGAAGGTCTGAGACCCAGGAAGAGATCATCGAGAAGCTGGCATTCATCTCGAATTTCATCAGACGCTTGATCAGGAAGACCTTCGGAGCGAGCCGATATAGCTACTACCAGAAACCAGATGACGAAAGTGCCGCTCCATACAAATTCATCGACATTAGCCCCGCCGTCAAGTCGGAGCGGAAGAATGCCACGAAGGAGATCCTCGTTGCGTGCCGCTACTATGGCATAGAGGTATCCGATATCCAAGCACAACAGTTGAAGCTCTTCGAGGATCAGATCCGAGCGGGAAATCCGAGGAACGTTGAGCTCATCAAGGACTACATTGGCTTTGTCGGAGCTGACTACATGCGACAACTCACGAATGGCTGAGCATTGGGGTCATACCGACATGCCACTTCCGGTACTTCATGTACTGAGGGATCTTGGGTAATTCATGATGACCATTTTGGCATCATGGGAGTGAGATAGGATTGCGTTTCACGCCGCTGGTAATCACATGACACCATAGGTAGGTGCACGTTTTCCGCTTGTAGCTCCATTACCTGTTTGATCCGACTTTCAGGCAAATGCAAGATCTTTTGCCAATTCGATTCAATAGGACATACTGGTTGACCTCCAATACACTTTTGAGAACTTGATTCGTTCTCCGGTTTTTACATCCACTCATCTCCCTTCCCCGTCGAAGCACGGATGTGGGGGGTGTCAATAGGGATGAGGTCCCAGTATAGTTGCTATATAGGTACATGCCATATACATTTGGCTCAAGTGCCCAACCAGGTAAAAAGGGGCTTTAGCGCGCGAGCTTCATGTTGAACTAAGGGCTAGAACGGGGCCAGGGCACACCTTTCCATCCGTTCGCATTTTGGAGGTTTATACATAGTAGCCAAAATACATCAACATGCCATAAAATCAGTCAAAGCTAGTCGCTGGTCCCAAGTACTTCAAGTAGATGCCAGCACTGGTACAATTGGCAAGAAATAGCTTAAGAACTCTTCACTCCGGACGGGACCGGAGCTCGTTGGCGCTCAGGACACGGTCGTGCACCGGAGTTTCAACGTGGGCGTCGGTGGAGGTCGCTTTCGTGCCGGGGCCGCGGCCAACATGCTGCACATCTCCATGAAGGCCTGCCTAAAACAGCACCAAATGGAGTTGGAAGGACCAACTCTTCCTTTACAGCGCCGAATCTCTGCGGGGAGATGTCCATGTGACCAGGGTTTAGAGTTTTGGGGTCCAGGTGTGTTTGTCATGAGTTTTGGGGAAGTTGTTTCGTTGTCAGAGGTTTCCTGTAGCGGTTCATGAGAACGGCTCCATGCTTAGACAGCCTTTTCGATGTTCAAGCGATGAATTCATGGATTTCTCCAGTCTTTCGAGGATGTCGAAATCGGCACTTCATTGGATCCCGGGTTTCCCACAAACCGTACATTGTCCAGGGCACTGGATCAGGTATGATGAGGTGGATGGGCATCACGAGAAGCATCCTTAATTGTTCATAGCAAGGAATTATGTTATATTAGAGCGACTGAACATGTGAAAAGAAACCGGTATATATCTTGAGTTTGTCCTGAATTACCCTGTAACAGTCAGTAGACAATGTGCACTATGTTTGAACAAGGCCTTTTAGCAGCCATTGCATTCTTTCTGAAGTCACAAAGGCCATCGTGCCATAAAGGCTATTGTTTTTGCAATTGTTTCTTGAGCACTTCCATATGCTGTAGGCAAGTCTACACCAAAGGAAATCAAGACTAGCATCGTTTGATGTCAATAACCCATTGTCAACCCCCTGAGTTACCTCAAGAATCTCAGATAGTGATAGAGCACAAATAGACCGCCACCGCGTCATGTGGAAATCCCGCCGCTCGGTCTCCGCGGAGCCACCGCGTCAGGTGGAGCGAGCACAGTATGAGAAAGCACCCTGGCTCATTGCTCGTCTTCTGGCCGATGTTGAGCCCCGTGGCGGCCAGGATCAGCAACACCAGGTCGATTGGAGAACGGGTCGATGATTGGTGCGGAAAACAAAAGATGGTGGTGTGTGGTGGGGGCTTAGGCATCGTTTGAGGCCTAAGCCGTTCTAAGGAAGCGCTTTGGTGAAAAGGCATTTGCTAATGCCTTTGGCATGTAGCACATTATCTAACTCTAAGCCATTCTAAGTCCAAAACCAGAATCTTTCAGGCATTTGCTTGTTTGAAGCTCAGTGTTCCAATGTTCCAATTTGTCCATGTCTTTAGCAGCGTAGCCAAGTCGAGCGACCTGGGTGCTGACCCTCCATCAAGGAAGAGAAAATGATGGAAAATGAGGAGACTCCAAAAGTATGTGTTCTTCTTCGTTCGTTTTCAGCCGGGTTTTTGGCCTTCTGTAAGACCAACTTGGACAGATTGAATCATCGCCGGTCACCACCGCCATGAGGCTGCAAGGCAGAGGTTCTTTTTTCGACAGAGGAGCTGCATGTGAAGCAAACAAATCAAAAGGCCATCTTACCTTTGCCAAGAAAGATCAGCTCACATGTATTTAAGACGGCGTCCTGAGAATAGTTGTGTAGTTTCACATTGATCCATGGTGTGGGCGTTATCGGGCCTTAGATCTCAGATGGAGCAGTGAAAAGTTGAGCTGGAGAAGTTCGTAAATGGTTCCAATATGGCTGGGCCTCCCCAACGGACATGCCAAATAAAGAGGCCACCCACGCCCACGCCCTAAAGAATTGCCATGGTTCACTTGAGGTTCTCGGTGGACCGGCTACAAGTCGCCCTGAAACGGATGCTCAACGACGTCCCCAACAGCAAGCGCAACGGCAAGGCGCAGCTCCGGACCGCGAAACCACGAGACGTAGCGATCTGAAGCCGTGCCTTCCACTTGTTCATTTGAGCAGCTGTCCCGCCAATGGTTTTCCAGTCCGGCACAGACATTCAGAGGTTGGCAGTCAACTGCATATCCTTTTGCATGATATGCCATGATAAGTTCCATGACGGTCCCACCGTCATTCTTCACAGTCAGGGCCTCATGCGCTTGGCCATGTCGGCCTTCGACTACAGCGACAGCTGTGCACATGGCGCCTTCAACGTCTTCCGGGTGGAGAAACTGCTGAAGGCGCAGTGCATTGAGAGCTGCTGCGTGGGGGTGGTCAGCTGTGTTGGCGTTGGCGATCCTTCATAACAGATGTAGTAACAGATGCTGTTCTTGGGAAGTTGCTACATTTGTTGGGAAGAATTAGTAACATATGTTTTTCTTGATATAGCCATGTTGCAGTTTGGGCTTGGGAAGTTTGGTCCGGTCAAGAGGTTGGTAACAGCTGTTTCGAACAGCTTCAGGCTATGAACATCGTGAGTGGTCTTGAGTGGTCTGAAGATCTTTGGTACACGTTCAAAGGATTGGTTTTCGTAGTGTTTTTGTCCTCAAGCCCTCGAGTCGAGCGGTGCCGTGCCCCAAAAACCGCCGCACCGGACCTCGCAGGGCTTGGAGGACGCAGGAAACGCTGCGCCCTTGGGCGCGTGCGCGAGCGAGCTCGCTGGGGTGCGGACGGCGCTATTGGCGCCTGGTGCGCTGGTGCCTTGGAAGGGGAAAAGTCTTCAGAAAGGATGTTGGGGTGAAGAAACATGCTGGATGAGTGTGCCAAATTTGAATGTGTTGAATACAAACGATTTTGCTACGAAGTAACTAGTATTGGGTGCCGGTTGCACAAGTTTACTTAACCATTCATCGGATGCATTTGTGCCTTCAGTAAGCTGGCACTTGAAATGCTCAACCCAGGATTTGACTGAATGTTTTTTGCAGCGGGCTGTGCGGGCTGCGCTGGCTCAGGCGTATGTTTCAGGAGACATTGCAGCTTTGGAGACTGGAATCTTCAAGCCGTGGTGCCACCAACCCTTCATGGCTGCAGGTGGGGAAGTTTCGGTCCTTGCGCAGCAGTGTTAATAAAACGGCGCAGGCATGACCACATGCATCAACATACCTTCAATCCTTTTCATGTCCAACATCGCGACACAGTTGGACAAGAAGAGATCACGGCGCATCAGTACCGGACATATAACTATATGTCTTTGAAGTCCTCGACCTGGGCGACGGCCTCACCGCCCCATCCTCAATGAGATCCCATCCTCATCCCCCAATGGCCAAGGCGGCGGAGGCTACAAAAGCGCGCCAGCGACCCCACTGCCCGCCCTTCGTCGGGAGCTCTATGCCGCGGACGCCTTGCGGCCGCCCGAGGGGTGGGGACGCTTATGTTCCGCCGAAGGGGTGGAAAGATCGGGTGGATGAAGGTGTCCATCGAAAGAATTGACCAGGGATTTGGCCAAAAAAATATGTGTTTGATGGGATTGATGATTTATGGCACAAACGCCGCTAATGACCAAGATCCACCTCATCGTACACACTCTTGCAATTTACCTTTGGCATGTATATTATACCTTTGGTCCAGCGTTCAAGAACTGTATTCAGTTATTCATTCCTAGAGTTCCCCGTCATCTACTAGATCACGAATCACTGGCCTACTGATCCAGACGTTCATTAACTTCATCGCACTGCACATGTTTTCGTCCGTCCTTTTCGCGTGTCTTTCAACAACATGCTTACACATGCTTACACACATTGTATGTCAGATATTGTCAGATACATTTTGATACAGGCCATGTAACCTCATCTCGTACCCACGATCCAGTAGACCGGCGATTGGTAACCAGCGATCCAGGGCGTGAAACATCGCCTTGGGCTTTTTAGAGTCGTACCACACTCGTACGTCATGAGTCATGATTGAAACCCCAAAGAACGGATGGCTCAATCAACATCAGCAGTTCGGGTTCCGCTGTTGGATGTGTTGCGACAGGTCCACTTACGGCTGCTTCCTCTCCAGCACCGCCGAGGAGCACCGATCGACCCGCGTGGGCGATGGGGGGAGACGTGTCGTGCCGTGAACGCACAGGAATCGAATTACTGGCTGGTCCAATGTGATTCATTCACAGACCCCAGATCACCAGAACTTGCTCCTTTGCTGGCAGCTTGGCTTACCAGCCGACGCGTTTGACGAGAGAAGAGAACCAGCTCGCCCGATTTCCGAAGAATTCAGCGTGGAAATGCCCACCACACAGAGGCATCCCCCATGTTTGAAGGAAGGATTCTTATACTCTCTACCTGAATTGCTCAGCATGCGGTCATTTCATGCCATATGATTCATATGTTTACATGTTTGTTTACCCTCCCATTCTGAGACATTTGGTGGTGCTGGGCAGCTCTAGATTCTGAGGTGGCCATCGAATACATCACAGCCTTGGAGGGACCATTTTGGCGGAAGATCCGCGGCAAAGGTCATGCGCAGGGAGCCGAGTTGATGGTATTTACAATGGTTTTAGAGTTGATGGCACTGGCACCCCAAGATGACTTAGACAGATGGGGATCCATATGGATCCATGTCACCCACCTTTGGGGATCGTGCCACCTACTCTCAATCCACTATACTTCTCACAGGATTCTCATCACAATTCCAACAAGCCGAGCACTTTGAGCTAGAGACTGACTGCCGCCACATGGTGCCCGACATGACTTTGTTCAATTAGAGCCTCCATGACCATCGGCCTTGAGGTACAGTTATGGTATCAACCATGACTTGGAAGCTGGAAAGCTGACATTCTCGCTCTACAAGGTCCAGACGTTAAACAAACCGTTGGCCCAAGAAAACGCGTTCCGCTGATGGTTGGCACCCGCACTCTTCGTTCCGCACTCCTCGTGCCCCCGAGCCGGGATGGCCGTCCACGTAGGCCACGAACCCCGTGGCCGCCTACGAAGCTGCGGGCGCCATCATCGAGCAGTTGTGCTCCGAAGGCGCAGAGTTGGAGCTGCGCTGCAGCAGTTGCAGCTGTTCATGTTGGAGCTTCTTTGGTACGGACATGTGTGAGCGTGAGTGTTCTTCTTCATAGCTGCAAGAGGATGATCACGGAACTTGATCTAGAGAGAAAGTGAGAGAGAAAGGATAGTCTACCGGAAGATCTGATGGAAAGTGCGGCTATCAGATGTGATTAAAGATGTGATTAAGCTTCAGGATGCATTAGCTAGCTGATCTAGCAGGCCTTTTGGGGGTGGTCCTTGCAGACTCGCAGGCTCTGATGCACCCATGGCAGATGAAGGCGAGGGCGAAGATGAGGATGAGGAAGGCCTTGACCCTTACGCTCTGGAAGCAGCACAAAGTGGGGAGCTCCAGTGAATTTTATCACAATGGATTTGACAAAGACGATGCTGTTGATGCGATGTCCTCTTTGAGGGACAGATGCTTGAGGGACAGACGATGGGTGATGCACCGCCTGATAGGCGACATCGCCCATGGGCGACCATATGCGATAATTCACAGATTTTGATGAGTGTAAGCTTGGGATATGCTCCAGTGAATTGAAAAAGACCAGCCGAAAGCGTAGGCCGAAGCCATCATCCAAAAGCATTGAAACCACTGTCGACCAAAGAAGCGAAGTGTGTACTCCGCCTGCGTCGTCCGACCCAGGCGGAGTGCTGTTTGGATTGATCGAGCCGGTCGACACTGTGCCAGGTAGACGGGGGGGGAGAGGTTTGACGGTTTGACAGAAAACCACACTGTGCTATCAAGGAACAGGCTCCCTTCACGCTAGTCTGATCAGGGTGGAAAAACATGGAAAACCCAAGTGGATTTGCGAGAAGCAAGCCCCGTGTTGAGACGCCGGAGACTAGGGTCCTTATACTCCTTGCATTTGCGATTGGGCAGAGCCTGCCATGTAGTTTGGTGACATCCTGCGCTAGACTTTTCTGTGTTTGACCATACTTTTGGTCGTTCGAGACATGATGAATGCCACACCACTGTGATCAGAAGGAGGCGGTTGAGAGGTGTTCCGAATATCCTGACAAAGAACTGTTGTTGAATCGCAGGACTTGAACCTGCTGTCATCCCGCTGTCATTTGGGCCTCTTCTTGCCCATTTTGGCTGGGGCGCATTCCAGAAACATTTGCAACTCCGAGAGTGTCCGACACGCTTTCGCTGGGCAACGCCTTCGCTGTGTGTAAGAAGTGATGCGCGCCAGGTGCGATGGGCGAGGCCTTCTCAATGATGCCGCCTGGCTGAAGGTCTTGCGTGACAGAATCGGCTGGTCTAACGGTCTAACGGCCAGAAATGACCTCATTTGTGGAAGTGGGAGAACGGGGATGATGATGATGCTGCTGCTGCTGGTGGTGGTGGCGGTGGTGGTATCCAACATGTTTCACGGCAACTGGATGTTTAAGGAAGCTTTGAAGTGTGGAGTGTTTAAGGAGGCTTTGTTTAAAGGTTGATGGCAGTCAATAGAAAATCTTTTTCAACTGTGGAGTGTGGAGCGCTCAAACTCCAAGTGCCATCTCGCATTTCGATGCATCAGGCTAACCCGATCGCCACCAGATCAATTGCAATGGCTCTTGCGTGCGGTGCAGAGAGTCACAGAGGCAGCGCTTTGGGTGCCGCAAAAGTCATCAAACTGAATTAACTTTTTCTTTTTGCAACCCCACATTTGTTTGGCAAGGAGTTGCATCAAGAGGTTGAGACACCTCCACAAACTCCCTCATTCTTCTCAGTCTCTCAATCGGTTTTAGACTGATGGGAATCCGCCAGGGTTTGTCGGTTTGTCCCTGTCGAATGGGAGTGACCTTATGTCCATGTGTGGGTCAAGAATCATCAATCATTCTCAAAACCAGCTGACAGCCCACCAATGTGGCTGTTCAATTAGATGAAAGAAGACGCATTACCAACATCCTAACTGAGGAGTCAGTCAAGAATCGAGGCGCTGAAGAAGACAGTGACGCACAGAGCAAGTTTTGCACATAAAAGTTCGACAGAGTTCACTTGGTTCCTGGTGCAGGTCCCATGTGTGCACCTCGCCCTCTCTCATGAATGGTAACACTGAAGCTGCTAGGTCCTACTGTCACAAGCCTTTGGAAGCCATTAGTCCCATTAGTCGCGAACTGTGAACACCAGACCTTTCAGATTGGCAGGATTCTGTGAGAGCTGCCATGCAGAAGCACATCGCCCCTCTTTTTACAGGAAGCAGCGGTCGAACAGCTGCTTGGCCAGCAAGATGATGAAACCCGGCAGCTGCCACCAAGTGGCACCTGTTGCTTTCCTGCATCCATGAAGATGCACGTCATCAAACAAACGAACAACAAACAAATATCAACCATATACCCAAACAGATGTAAAACGCCAGCACACCCATGAACGATTAGGTGGCCACCATGTGGCACCATCTAGCACCCATGAACCAGCTATTGTTGCGAGTTTGGCCCGAGGTGTCCATGGTGGGCCCCAGCAAAAAACGAGCAGAGCTCGAGGTGAAGTGTGTGGTGTCGCAAGGTGTCGTGTCTTACTCAGCCGACCAGATGGTGGCGCAGCACAGCATGGATTGACCCAGCGGCCCATGCCATCTCCCCACATAACATATTGGCGCAAAACCATAAAACCGTGGTCGCGACTCGGACAGGAATCCATTCAGAAATTGGAGCCCCCGTTCAAGGCGAGGGCTTTGCGTGTTCTTGGCCTTAAGCTTGGATGCCTGAACGATGGACACAGATGCAGATGCAAAGTCACACAGATTTGTTGGTTTCTTCGGCATGCCACTGAAAGAATTGCTTCAGGTCTCACATCACCCTCGGTTCATGCAGACATCCGTTGGCACAGGTCGTTCATTTGGACGTGGAGAGCTTCGTCAACACGTTGGCGAACGGCGCCAGCGGCTTTGCAGATCTGAGACGCAAAGTGCGGCCAGGTACAGGCGGGGATATTTCTTCTAGGGGATGGGTCGTTCAACCTGGAGCCCTGGTCCACCATGTAGCGAACGACCTCCCAGGTACGTCAAGCATATTCAAGCAAAATTGGGTTCAACTGGGTCAGCTGGGTTCAACCGGATCAAGTGGATCCACCACCACTACTATCACTACTACTACTGCTGTTGCTTTTTCTTCTACCACTGGGTCAATTGGTTCAACTGGGTCAACTGAGTACCGGCCCCATGTGCCGACGCACTCAAAAACTTTGTGATTTCCAGAGATTGAAGATCTGCAGCGTCGAGTCAACTTCGGGTCATTGAGCCAGGTTGACTGGAACAACATAAATGACATCAATAAAAATCCATAAATTAAAAGAAAAAATCACAAATTATTGATATTAATATATTATTATTAATAAAATATTAACAAATAAAATTATATATATGGGAATTAACTTAAAATTTATATAAGGAATATGGAATTAGATGATTATATTTTTTAAAATATTCAAAAAAACAAAGAAAAACGTAATAAAAATTGCGACAATATATATGTGCGAAAGAATTATCGAATACATATTTTTGGAATAGGAATATAAGGCAAATTTCCGGTAGAATCGTTGGTGGATATTTTTTTGGGGGGTTAATTTGGGGAGATAGATAATTGGGATATTTTTTATATATTAATTTGGACGATAGATATTATTTATTATATGGATGAATGATAGGATATTTATTATTAAGTGTCTTTTTTGATATTGATTATTTAATTTTTTTGTTATGTATTTTAATCGTGGAATTGGATTATAATATTGAATTTATTGAATTAAAATTGATCTTAAAAAAATTAATTAAATATAATTATATATGAAATTTGAAAGGTATAATATTGGGATATTAAGGAATATAGTATAATTATTAATATGGGATTTTTATCTATTTATAGGGTAATTGTTATGGAAATAGAAATTTAGATGGATATTATCTATATATATATATAATCTATATTTTAAAGAAATTTATAATATTGGGATTGATTATATAATTATTGTATAAAAATTTTTATATGTAAAGACCGTAAAGACATATTATTTTTATATATTGTGTTAAAATGACAAAATAGTTATGGCATTGCCATCTTTAATGATGGATAGGTTAAAATTGGAGGAGATATTTAATTGTGGACATTAAAAGGTCTTTAGTGGTATTGCCATATTGATTAATGATTTCTTTTTGTATATTTATTACCTATAGCCCATATGGAAGTATTGGATAATGGCGTTGCAGGAATTAGATTAATTCATTATCTCCGCGAGGAAATGTGTTGTATCGTCCTGCACATTATCATCAAAGTGTTTTTATAATACCTGCAGATGTTGAAGATATAAATGTCGATTCCAGTTCTCCGACAAAAGATCGGAAAGGATTGGTCCCTTCTCGTCATGTCAGTTGTCGGGTTGGAACGGATGAATTCCTTTCGTGACCCTGAATCAAAATTTATATATTTAGTTTTATTGAAAATATCTTTGTCCTCAAGATTTGCCATTGAATCTAATTATAAATCTCCTTGCTTATGCATCTATTATATCTGCACCTCAGGATTATCAAAAATGTCTTCTGCTTAATATTTGACCTCAATGCACGCCCAAAAGGATTAAAAATGCTTCTGTTCTGTTCGCACGTGCTCTGCGGCGTTACCCATATTTCCTTTATTGATAATAGATCCTATCTCAAAAAATCATAAAGATGCCTCCAATTTTCATAGATCACCATGGATGTCGCTATCAATTGCGCAGATTGATTCGAAGAACCAGCAATCGAATCCAACAGAAGCAAGCCAGAAAAACGTATTTAACAAAGATCGACTCTTCAAAAAAAATCAGCATTTAGAGACCACTTTTTATGATGAAATTATTGAACACAAGTTTCTGGCGTTGCTTTCTCGAGTGGTGCTTCCAATTTTTTCGGTGTTGTGTTTCAGTAGAACCTCGTTATTGATATCTCATTTTTGGAATTTTCGTTGGTTTTGGTGGACCTTGCCAGTGTCTCCATGGCAATCCAGCAGAGTGAAAAATTCAGAGTCTCTTCCATTAATTTGGAATGTTGAAGAATGCGATGTGATTAAGATTTGAAGAGATATGTTCCGCGCGGAGGATATCGGATGTGTGTCCGAAAGGAGCGGTTTGGGATCTGCGCCAATTTGCTCAAATCTCCCGGGCGCCGCAGGGCGGCCCCAGATAGATAGCCACCACCCGGTCCTGGTGAAGGATTTGCCAAAGAAGATTATGCCTATGTTCGGTTGGTTCCATGGTTTCAAAACTGGCCACATCCATGAGAGCACATGCGAGGGATCTGCGAATCAAAAGCTTGCGGCAACAAAAATGCTTTGGCGACAATACATTGATCTTTTCGTTTGCGACCCTTGAGTTGCAGGATTGATCATTCAAGGACTAAGGTCTTGGGTGTTTTCTGTTCGTTGTTTTCTCATTGAATTTGCGCGGAATATCCGTTATCTATGTTTTGCACTTGTATAGACTCCTATATTGGACATGATGATCATCAATTTTTCTGTCGTAATCTCGTCCGGATCTACATTCATTTTCTCAACCGCCTGCTTGTCCTGCTCTAGCTATTGATTATAGAGCGTCGTAGTCTGTTGAAATTCGTTTTGGGTTGCCTCAATCTTGCCTTATAGTTCTTTGAGATCCTGAAGCAATGCCGTCTACTTGTGTATTTCCCTCCATCTGCTTTGGTCTGGATTGCAGATTTCTTCTCTGAGAATAGATTTAGGTTTCCCATGGATTGCTGGAGTTTTGTTGCCAAAATGGCACGATCTTCTTAATTGCCTCTTTGAATTCTGCTAGCAGGCCCTGTAGGCGTTCTCAAATGAATGTGGACAAATCTTGTGGAGGTGGTGGGGCCGCTGCTTGAAGTCCAAGTGCCTCACATTGTGTCCTGAGTTCCTCGAGCAAGGTGCCCAATATTTTTGCGTTGCCTTCTGTAGGACAGTCGGTTTAACCTTTTCGTTGTCTTGGGATAATCCTGGTTACGGTTCTAGCAAAGCTTCCTTCAAGGTCTTCTTTGGCTATTGGGCCTAACCATTCTTGTAATTTCAAGTCGCCCATTGGACTTATCGACGTCATCGAAGATCAGGCAGCCGCGGTCCTTGCCATGCCTTGCCACATTGATTGCAAATCAGGTGTGGTCGAGCTAAAAAATTTATCCTATTAGATCCAATTCGGATAATATAGTTTATATACTTCACCCGAGGTGCTCAAAGTGGAGATCTTCTCGATGGATTTCAGGTCAAAGGATTGTCGATTACCCGAAATTAGATGTGGGCAGGGCCGCATTTGTTTATTTTATAGGACTAGCCGGCTTGAGGACTTAAATGGCTTAAATCTCAGATACAGATATTGAAATATATATATATATTATATGTCTTATCGATTATATATTTATATGTTGTCGTAAAAATATATAATATAAAAAATGATTTAATCTATAATATATATATTATATATTCCATAAATAAGAATTCAAAATAGAATATAATATATTAATATATATAATTTCTCTATTTCAAATATAGATTAAATAATATATATAGCATAAATAGATTGAATATATTTGATCTATTTTTGATATATTTTTTAATCTATTTCATTAAACTATATTGGGAAATGGAGTCGGAACCTTATGTTGAAATATACGAAAATAAAGACCACCTAAATTACAAAAAAATATATATATCGAAGAATGGTTAGAATGTATTCTTTATATTATCTATATCATTGAATATTTTTTAGTATAATTACGGAATCTCAAAGTTATAATATTAATCTAAAATGTTTTCCCAAAAAAAATCCTAATTCTTAAAATTAATCATATAATATATATGTCCATGCAGAAATTTGATTCAAAATTCATTATATTTTATATAAAATGCAATCGTTTTTGCCAAAATGTTAATTATTCTTATGATTTGTTGTTTATATTTTCTAATGTCAATTCTATGAAAATATTTCTATATATCACACTCGTTCCAAATATCAATTCTCTATCGTCAAAACACAAAATATCTATTCTATTGTATATTTAAAATATCTTCTAGTTTGTTTCTTTTATAGAGAGAGAGAGTGGGTAATCATGGGAGGTTTGCATATGAAAATTATGATTTTGTGAGGTTTTGTTCTATTTATATATCTAATTTGATATTGATATAATTATGAAATTTGAGATTTTTCTTTTATATATAATTAGTAAGCATAAATATCTATAAGATGAGGTATTTATTTAAAATTCTTTGATATAATAATTTAATTCCACGTAATCTCCATATAAATTCGTATTATATTGATCTTATTGAATATATGTAAATAAATATATTCTAATCAGAAGGCAAGGAATTACACCCTAAATACCTAAATCCTAATCGAATAAATAGATGATTTTTAGTTCAAATCTATTCAAATCTATTGTATTTTTAAAATACAAAATTAATGCTAAATCTAATTTAGTTATTAATAATTTCTTGATTGAAATTTCATTCATTATAAATTCAAATTTATTTGGTATTCAATATAAACCTAAATATGATTCAATTTCAATTCGATTTCAATTTCATTTATTTTATAATTCTTTAGATTCTCACCTATTTCTAGAGAATGGATTTGTTTTAAATATAAAAGAATTTATATAATATTTTTCCAATATAGAAATATGAATTGCTTAAATAGATTAATTTTATATATCCAACATCTTCCATTCTATTAAATTAGAATTTCATATGTAGGGAATTAAACCAATTTAAACATAAAAAGAGAAAATCAAAAATAAATTGCAACAAGAATAATATCAAATTAGATCTATTAACTAATTCAATCTGAATTATATAAAAATATTACAATAAATTAACGAAAAAAATAAGTTGGAATATCAAAATTATAATTCAATATAATATAGAATAGAATATAGTTAATATACAAATCTATTGAAATAAAATTGGAATTATATTAATAATATTGAATCAAAATCCTTTATTTAAATTGAAATTAAATTAGGATAAAGATAGAATTAGATTAGAATTATTTATCCTAGAATTAATCAGAATCAAAGTTCATTTAGAATTGAATTAGAATCAAATTGCAGGTTCAATTCAATTTCAAATATATTGAATTCAATTAAATTCAATTTAGAATTAAATTCTAAATATATTGCTATTGCAGATTCAAATTAGAATTAAATTAAAATTCAATTAGATCCAAATCGAATTTTAAATATAGATGAAATTAAAAAGAAATAAATTAGAAAAAAGAATCTTGAATTCAATCAAATATATATATAAATATTATATATTCAATATCAAA